TGAATATACTGAATGACCAGGTTATTCCATCAATGGACTTTTTCTTCCCTGATGGCACAGGCATATTCCAAGATAACAATGCCAGGATTCATCGGGCTCAAATTGTGAAAGACTGGTTCAGGGAGCATGAGACATCATTTTCACACATGGATTGGCCACCACAGAGTCCAGACCTCAACCCCATTGAGAATCTTTGGGATGTGCTAGAGAGGGCTTTGCGCAGCGGTCAGACTTTACCATCATCAATGCAAGATCTTGGTGAAAAATTATTGCAACACTGGATGGAAATAAATCTTTTGACATTGCAGAAGCTTATCGAAACAATGCCACAGCGAATGCGTGCTGTAATCAAAGCTAAAGGCGGTCCAACAAAGTATTAGAGTGAATGACCTTTTTTTATATATCATTGTATGTCATATATATATATATATATATATATATATATATATATATATATATATATATAAAACACTGGTGACGGATTATGTGGGATTTCAGGGTTAGACAGCTCTGCTCTGTTGGATGTCAGTTCCTGCTTGGTTCCTATGTCCACCATAGAAGGATTCCTTTATTGTGTTTCTGTAATTTTAGCAATGCAACAAAACCATGCGGTGAGAGCATTCACTGCTCCTCCCTCACCTGATGCTGCTGTGTGACATCTGCTCCAGGATGAACATTTAATCATGAATGCTTATTATACATTTAAGCACACATAGTCCTCTTCTATAGTAGGATAATACATTTAGATCTTGTTGAGCCATATGAGGCTTATAAGACTTTTACATTTTTGCGGCTCCAGACATTATTTTTTTGTTTTGTCCAATATGGCTCTTTGAGCAGTTAGGTTTGCCGACCCCTGGAATAGACAAATATTATTTACTAAATGTTGACTGCCCTTGATGATGTTTTGTATTTTTATATTATGTCTAGGGAAAAATAACAATTCAAGATATCTTTAATCTGATTTTGGAGAGTCAAAATGCATTTTGAGATATCTCAAATTATGTCATCTCACTTGTCTTTTAAAGTGTCACACATCCAGAATTATAATCAAGATTTTTCAGTTAATTTGAACTATTCAAAACAAATTCTGTTTAATATGCAATTTATGAAATATCCCCCTAGTGTGTCACTAAGCTGTCCTAACAGTTGCCTGCAGAATTTTGCATGGCTGCAATGGTGATGGTTCTTATTGACAAAGTTGTTTGAAATTGCCACAATATAGAAAGAACTCAGCAATATGGGATGTGACCTTTGTGAACTCTAAGAACCATTTCAATTTAATTTTATATTTTTTTATATATTGATGTAGCATGTAGCCTAGCTTACTTTAAATTAG